CTAAAATTAGAGGAAAGATAAATAAATCAGGGATAAGAGGTAGCGGTAACTCTGCAGCTCCGAGGAAGCAAAGGGAGAAAACAAAGGATTACAGAACCACAAGCAGTTTGGTTAGAAAAGAGGATGGGAGTAGGCAAAATGGATAAAACATCTAAAGGAGAAACTAAATTAAGAATATGGCAAAGCGTACACATTCAGGCATTTTCCATGCGAGGTTTTCTGCTGTGAGGAGGGACACTGGGCTGTAATTTCAAGGGAAATATCTTCTAATGAGAGAAACTCCATAACACATGGATAATGAAATTAGTACAGCAAAGTTCTTAAGGAAATAGTTCCAACCAAACACCTACCATAAAACTTCATCTTAACTAAGATAATTCTAATTCCAAATTACTCATCCATTTAAATGTGACCATAAAGAAAAATTCAATTGTGATGATAATGTAATTAATTACCATGTAATATTGCAATGCACTCAACGCTACATTTGAGACGGTTAATGTAATACTAATGAGATTAACAAGAATTTTGAATTTAGAGATATGATGATGCCATAGTTTGCTATGTTCTATGTCTTAAATTTTATTATGTCTAAGGTGGGCCTAATATTTTGTAAATCCTATACAAAGGGATGACAAATTTTTAGCTATACTTATAAAATAAAAGCAACCCTATAGGACAAAAATACCCTACAAAGTCTGTTCTTCACAGAGATTCTATGTATGGCAGAGGTATTGTACTTGAGTGTAATACACTGCATCAAATGTTGTGTCCACTCCCTTATCTTAAAAATATCTGAAAGTATCTATTAGCATGTGAATTCCTACTGTTACAGCTTCCTTATCCTTTGTATGATTGCTTGTGAGTTGTAGGACAAAATAAAATAAATAATCTCAAGTACACCAAAATACATTTAAATATAAATTGTGCTCTGTTGCACTGCATGATAAATTGTGCTGAGGGGGAAACATTAACAGTCACTGTGAGAGGTGGCCTTCCATTTCACAATGCCAATTCTGTAAAGCTGCTACTGTACCGAGCGGCATGGTGCACCATGGGAATGTTATTATCAGCTCAGGTAGCCCACTCCTTGATTTTGCACAGACACATAAGAATGCAGATAGAGCCATATATAGCCAGAAAAATACTGGGACACACAAGCCAGTAACACTAGCAAGCACACGTATGCTGTGTTGTCTTAAGGATGCACAGTGCCTCCAAGTGGCCTGAGCCCGCCACTGCAGTACAGCAAAATAAACCTGCTAAAAATATCTCCTCCATTCTCATGATTGCATGCCTTGCCTTTTTATATCTCATTAAGATTGGGCCTAATTACCCTGCATTTCTTTTTCTCCAGCATCTACTTCAGAGCAGGAGGCTTTTCAGATGCTTTACTTTCTAACAAACGGTGATATACACTGATTTGTCATTACAGGCAACATACATTTTGCAGGATGATATTATTTGTGGGGGTTTTTTCAGCTCATTTTGAGGAAGAATTTACTCAGTGAACAATGAAAGAATGATTAAGAGAGTGGCCTAAACAGAAAGAAGGGAAATAGCAGCAAAATGGATAGGATAGGGTGAGCTCAGTGCATCCAATTACACTGAGTGGGGCTCATTTCCTCTAATCAAATAGCTCAGTTAAATATCTCAAAGGCAGATTCCCCATTGAGCCGATCTTCACACATGAGCAATAAGTCACTAAGTCTCTTTCTCTTTCTGCTTCTGCCCTTTTCCTCTCTAGCTGCAACTCACTCAGCAGCTATCATCAGACTTTTCCCTTCTCTTCCAGCAAAGACAATCACTATTCCCTTCTTCTCCAACCAGAGATTTGTACCTCGCTGCTCACAGTGCATAAGGTAAGAAAGAGGAGAGCTATAACTGAGAGGGGTAAAATGACTATGCTATAGATAACTTTGGCAGCTTTTCAACATAAGGTAACAGGAAAAATGTCTTTTCACATGTTTCACAGGACGGTTACACACAAGGTTCAAAAATGCATTCAGTCATTTCTCCACTGATATCTAATGATGTTGAGTTTCATAGCATTGTCCAAAGGCTGGAATTATGTCTGCCACTGATACTATAACAGCCTCCTGTTTCACAGTGGACATACACAAATCCTCTCGTTAAACACAACCTAGTAGTCTTGTTACTGTTTTACTCTGAAGACAAGAATACAAACAGACAACACTGGATTTTGACTTTACATCTCTCCAGTCCAACTTCTATACTTGTTTTGCACTATTTCAGTTACAAAATAACATGATATCAAGAACTGCCGTCAATTCATGTGAAAACCACCTTGTACTTCACCTCTTTGTGATCCTGTGTCACGGAATGTCAATAGTACTTTGCCTTTTCATAACATCAAACAAATCTCACACATGATGATATGTGACACGCCTATGGCATGTGAGCTTGTACTGACAGCAGCAATGAACATACAGAAAGAGCATGCACACAGCACACACACACCTCTCTCCTCCTTTTCTTATTGCTTTGGTAGTTGCTACGGATCCATTATTATCAGATAAACACATTATTTCCAGTGAGCTTGTGTCAACATCACATGGTAAACATATACACACAAAGCTTGTTATACAGTTCCTAATCCAGCTCATTTTAAGCTCTTTAGGCATTCCTGAGATCAGGTGCCTTGGTACAGAAATACAGAGAACCACAGCAAGGCCAGCGATGCAATTAACACACAGTTGGGGGCCAGGTCAGCATTCCTCTAAGGAGAGAGAGAGAGGCCTTGGCATGAAACTGGCATTGAGAGCTGGCAGAAAACTCTTCCTTTCCTTTTCAGCTTTAGTTCTGCTTGTTTAATCCCTAATTAAAAAAGAAAAGTAGAATTATTATGTGGTGGAACTGATTAATGGACAATGAACTGACTAAAGGCTTATGCAGTGTGTCATGCTAAAAAGGCCTGCAGGTGTACATATTCTGTACAAGTACAGAATACTATAAGGCTGCTCAATTATCAAATAAAAAAAAAACATAATCACGATTATTTTGGTCATAATGAACTTATTCAACTGAAGATTTATTTTTGTTAATGATTATGCATTATCTTATAAAGCCCATGAAATAAGAAATTGTAATTGAATATTATCACCTTTAAAAAGCATCTTAGAGAGGACGACAGCAGCAAGCAGCACAATTTCAGTTTTCTGTGTGTGTGTGTGTGCGGGTGTGTGTGTGTGTGTGTGTGTGTGTGTGTGTGTGCGTGCGTGCGTGTGTGCGTGTGTGAGCAAAGCAGGTGACATGTGAACTACTCAAGTTGACGACAACTCTTTACATTACATAACGCTGAAATTCAACCATGGTGTTCCGTCGGGAGACACAGTTACATAAACTAGGCTAATGGTGAGAAAAGTATAAATTCAGTATAGAGTCAGGGACACCGTGAATATATTACAAGCACAGACCCGGTAAAGCAAGGCTTAACACACCGAGTTTAGAATAAGCATAAATAATATGTAAATTGCTCAACCATCAGTAGAGGAAAAGTCCGCAAGCCACTAGACTAATTTCTGCACTGTAAAAGTGCCAAAGGCTGAACGGTGATCACCGAGAACGATGTTAAGATTGCATAATACAGGAAATCTCCATTGTTTACGGAAGAATACTGTAAATTAATTTATAATTTATAATAGTGATACTGCATGGCATACAAATGTCAAAACTATCCCGCACAATCAATCACTGCAGTAAGATTATCGGATCATCACAAACTCCCTTATCTGAACTGTACAACCGCTTTGTGATCAGGAAAGTATCCCGATCACAGAGGACCCCTCTCACCCCCTCCACCACTCTTTCCAGTTACTACCATCAGGCCGACAATATGAAGTTCCACTGGCCCGCAAAAAAGAAGTCGTTCATTTTGCAATAATCAGTCTGGAAAACAACATAAAATAGACACTGTACAGCTGCTGTTTATGTATGTTTTTAATGTGTGTTGAACATCTTGTCGAAGGAGAAAATCTGCCACTGCTTTGGGACAGACAACAAAGTATATATAATGAAGTAATATCTATTTATCTTTCTATCTATCATCTAACCCACTGAATCAATACAGACTGTAGGCACACATGTGGGATTTTCAGGGATTTTCAGTTAGAGTAGAGTAGAGTCAGTATGCTGTGTGATTTAGGGTAATCTACGGTTGGCTCCTGGAGCTAACATTAAGTACATTTGTTTTTTTAAATTGTTTATTGTAGGCCTATATTTTTTAGTCGTTTGATGTATGAACTCTTGTCTGTCCGTGTCCATGGAAAAGTTAGAAGAAGTCAATTTGTATAATGTGCATCACACCATTCTCAAGGTGTCATATCCTTCACATTCGTTTCAACCATCTCCCTCTTAAAAACACTGTATTTGAAAATTACCCCACTTCTCAGTTACACAAGCCTATTCTTTGACAACTACCAATCAGTAAAGCTGCAACAGCTTTAATTGTTCTCTAAAGTTTTTAGCCTTAGCCGTATCATAGCTAAAGGGTTCTGGCTGCCCTCCACCCATTTCCCTTTCTAAAATATGATACAGAGCAATGTGCCAGTAAGCGAGGGCATAAAGGGAGGAGTGGAGAGCATGAGGGCTTGTTGGCAGACAACAAAAGTCCTTACCTTCTTATCAGTGTAGTTATCAATATAAACAACTGAGAAATTTTACTTCAAATCATATTAGAGCTGAAACAAGTTAGTTTACTATCAATTAATCTGCAACACAGTATTTATCACTGTTAACTTGAAAAATTGTCTGACTCCAAATAAGTAAGCTAATATCTTATATGATCACATTCATATACATTTTCTTGATACAAGTGAATTGAAGAGTTACCCTTTTCCTTTAGGATTTTTTTCCTGAAACCCAAAACAGCAGCAGGAAGAATTGAAAATTGTTTAAAGAAAGACCCAATTTTTTTAACAAATTAACACATTTGAACACATTTATGTCAAAATTCATAAAAGCTAGAAACTGGGACTCACCATGCTGTTGAGCTCTGAGTCATCATAGCTGTCACATGGATGTGTCCCAGGCCCAACAAAGGGCTCAAGGACATCCTCATCCCACATGTAGGTTCCACCAGAGCTGTTGGAAGGCGACAGCTCCACAGAAGAAGCTTGAAGGACATTACACCGCTCTGGAGACACCAGTGGTCCTTGGGAGTCCTGCATGGGGCTTTCTTCTTTATGTCCTGCTGAAAATATATAATAATAATAATAATAATAATAATAATAATAATAATAATAATAATTTATTTGTAGAGCTTTACTTTATTTATAAACCCAGGGCTTAACAACTGACACAAATATAACACAAGCACTTTGTTGAGCTTCCTTTTAATTCAGTTTCTTTACCTGTCAGATCCATAGTCTCCCAGTCAAGGGTCTCACTGAGAAAGCTGTGCAGGCGGGTTTGAGTACTGCTGCCAGTTTTCCTGTTATCAGGTAGGTCCCCATCACTGAACACATCTCCCACACTGTCAAAGTCATCTAGAAACTCTTCACTAATGTCAACTCTGTCTAGAGATGAGGCAGAAGATAAGGACATATCCTCCAGAGTCTCGCCTGCTGCCTGGCCAGAGCTCTGCCTAAGCACATCACTCCCTCCTCCTTTTCCTCTTGCATCTCCAGAGCTTCCATCACTTTCACTCCGTGAGTCTGTTTTGTCAGCCTCACTAGTGCGCTCAAAGTCTATTGCTTTTCCTAAATGGCCTCCACATTCAGGGGCAACCAAAGGTCTGATTTCCCCCTTGACCCTACCTGGAAAAAGAGTCTTCTGCTGCTTGGCCTGCCTGGATCGAGGCAGCCTGTAGCCTAAACCGTTTCCCAATGACTTGGTCAGCACACAACTGGGCAGCAGAGGCTTCCTCAGAGAGCTGGGAGTAGTGGGTGCTGAAGGGGTCGAGAGGGTGGGCAGAGAGGAGGCAGCCGGAGGAGTTCTACTGTACTGAAGTCCTCCACCCAGACCTCCTGAGCCTCCAAGGCTGCTATTCAGGCCTCCAAGACCCAAACCCACTCTTCCATTGCTAAGCTGAGGGGGTTTAAGGAAACTACTCCGAGGTGGCCGGAGCTGAGTGTTGGTCAGGGGCTTAGCTAGCTCCACAGCTCGGTTAAAAGAGAAGGACCGTGTCATGGGCTGGCTGGTGGGCGAGGGAATCTGCTTAAAATGAGTGAAGCTGTTTGAACGCACCATGTTGTCCAGTGCCAAGTTCTTCAGGCTGTCACTAGACTGGGACAGGCTGTCTTGAGAGCTGCTTCTGGGAGAGCTAGATCCTAACCTCGGCCGCACAAGGCGAGACTCTGATCCTGTTTGAGCAGGAATGCTGGAGCCATTGTGGCCCATTTTAGGACCTCCGTTCAGTGGACTTTGGCCTAGCTTGGTTCCAACTTTGGGACTCATCTTCAAGGACTGCTTGGGGATGGCCTTAGGACTGGAGACCGCTACCATCAAAGAACCTGATCTTCGCATCTTGGGCGTCGCTGGAGAGCAGTTTTTTACCTCCTTTGCCAATGAGGGAAGCTGTGTCTGAGCCTTGTCTTCACCTCCATCCCCAGGGCTGGTGGGGGTGATGGGGCTAGAAGTGGTTGTCCTCTCCTCTCTCTTCAATTTCAGGGAAAACGGAGAGGCACGGATTATGCCATTTGGGTGTGTTCCTTGAGGAGTTGTCTTAACATCCTGGGTAGCGGTAGCTGGCTGTATGGAACCATTTGACAAGGGGCTAGCGCCACCAGTCGAGGAGCGTCCACCAAACTTAGGCAATCTGGATACCATGGCAGGCCTGATGGGTGCTTTTTCTTCCATTAGATGCCAACAAGGGCATGTAGGAGCATGGAATCACACAACTGGAGAAAGAAAAGACAGAAAGACAAGAGAGGATTAGATTTAAGTGTACATGATTTGATTTAGGACAAATAGCTTTGTAGGAAAGTCTTTTAAAACTCTGTTAATGCCGAACAGCTGCGACATTGAGTAGCTCTTCTTTTACAATATAAAGCAGGAGATATCAAATAATTCCAATATTGTGCCCTACCACTGTCATCCTCTGTCCAAAACAGTGATCCAGCCGTTTGTTACATGTCAAGCAGGACTTGTCTTTTCTTCCTGCTTTCTGTCTCTACCCCCCCCCTAGGTTTATTGGTCGGTGCCACCTCTGTAAGTTTTGGTTAAGTTCTCTTTGTAGAAAAACAGTTATTATATAATAAATAATCTATAGTATTTTGTTTGTATTTTGGTTTCTTCTGGCACCTTAGTTTGGCCTGGTTTTGTTTATTTTCAACTAATGTACTTTTTGGTACAAATATTTTTATAACCTTTGTTGTATGTTGTATGTATTTTGTCAATAAATCTCCTTTTAATTGTCACTGCCACTTTGACTTAATTTCTTTGGTTGTTGTGTTGTTGTCTCTTTTTTATTTCTTAAAAAGGGATGGAACAACATTACCAATTACTAGGGGCGTGACGAGATCTCATCCCACAAGATCTTGCGAGATTAAATTGTGACGAGATTTCTCGTCAGGTAAAAAGCTGTCTTGCAAGACTCAATTGACACAATTGACATTTTTCACATGCTGTCAAGCCACACATTAATTTTCTTTTGAAATACAAATGTATAACTGATAAGATCTCGCAAAGCTGATCAACTTGGCCTAGTTGATGCCACTCCGGCGTACGCCCTGATTTTAATCAACCACACCGCTCGCGCTGTGAGTCCAGACAGCTGTGACAAATGGTAACATAGCTGGTAGAGTTTTGCAACATAAACATCTAAAAACTGAAGTATAACTTTCCTCTGTTTGGGACGGTGAGCTGCACTTTATCAGAGCTGCTGAAGTTAACATGTGTGGATTTGTGGTGAGATTTCGGCCAGTTAAAGTCCAGGAGTTTATAACTGAATAAAAATTAAATAATTAATCATTGAGGTGAAAAGGTGCCACATGCACATTTTAAGAGGTTACTTCCATCTGCGTCGCCAGGTAAATTTTCAGGGGCTTTAGCCCCGGATGTTTGACTGTAGCCCCGAATGTAACTCAACGACAACATCAAATATTTTCCGCATTAGTATGCAATAATCTTTATAATACAGCCTGTGCAGCCTGTGTTAAATAAATTTGGAACTAGTCGAAATCCCTCCGTTCCTCTCCCAGAGAGGAGCAGGGGGGTTAAAGATCAACTTTCAACAGACTGCTGAAGAGACCCCAACGGAAGGGGGTGGAAAAGTTTCTTTCTCTAAGTGCTATCCCTGACCATAAAACTGGCACCTTTTTAATTCCGAAGCTGATAACGCGGTGACTGACTGTTAAACTGACAAAAGGGAAGCTAACCAGCGATTAGCATTTTCCTGAACAGCTTATCAAAACTGGGTTAATCTAAGCTTTCCTCATGTAACCTGAGCTCCCCCAAGTGGACGAAATAAGTCACCCACTTATCCTGACCAATAATGTGACAATTGTTTTCCTGTTACCAAATGCTTAACTTAGAACGGTACAACCGTTTGACCATTGAGGTTTGATTGTGGAAAATATTTGATTATAATACGCGCAAATAGATTTCTTTTCTTTTGGATATTAAAGTTTAGAAAGGCAGTCCCTCGGGAAACCTGAAACGCCCTCTGGGAAACCACGCCCCAGGCAACAAAAGAGCAACACACGACATCGTTCGCGCTCTCTGCTCTTCTCCTCCCCTCGTGACCTGATCTTCCGCTCTGCTCTCTTGACGCTTCGGCACGCGTCCAGCGTTCCTCTCCAGGCAACGCCCTAAGAGTTCTACCAGCGCAACAGGCCTTTGTTCGCTTGAAGCTACACACGCGAAGTGCCGCGACATTTCTTTTGTTTTGTTAAAGTTATCAGTCCGTTAAGTTACACTGGACTAATTCAGGAACGACCAAGTTCCCTTTTAAGCTTGTTCATCGAGCCAACGTCACCGATGTCAGACCGAGCCACGTGGTCTTGCCAGCGGCAACAAAGAAAACCTGAAAACAGCCGAATTGCCAGACGGAGGACGGCGTTTTCTTCAGACACGCAGAACCCCGGAGAATCCCTAGCAAAAAGCAAGGATTGGGCAGCTACCGTGGGACCCGTGCAACAGGCCAAAGCAGGCCGTGGACAAGCCGTAAGACCTAACAAACATTCTGTGGTAAGGGATGTCCCGTAATGTTAATATTTCCTTTAACTCCTAAACTCATAGCTTACTTTCATTACTTCTCCTCTGCCGTATGAGTCAAATGCTTCCCACAATCAAATCCATTTCTCACTGTTCAGCCATTGTTTATTTTCCCTGTATTTAACCACCCGTTTATATCGCTTTAGTTAACTTTAGTTATTAATAAATTCACTGTAATCAGGAAACTGTGTGTGTTGCCTATTTCCACGTCCCTGCCAAGAGAATTCACCCTTTAGATATGAGACTGAGTGATTGAGTTAAGATAATTAGATTAGATTAGATTGTTAACTAACTGATCACTAGTAATAATGGTATAATTATTAAAAGCTACCTAGAGGTCCAGAGACTCTAGGATTATAACAACTCCGGTGGTGCCCTGAAACGAGGAATATTTTTTTGATTTTATGAATATTCAAATTCATAATCGGGTATTAATTCTCATAAATTTATTAAAATTCATAACTAATTTAGCCATGCTACATAATAATATTGCTACATTTTGTTTCAAGTTCACTTAACGTGACCCCCCCACCCACCCACCGTTACTCAGCATGCCTGCATTTAGAGAGAGAGAAACAGAGAGAGCATTGCTCACAGTTTCAGGGCTTCTCAGTAACTACTGATATGTCCCTAGCAAAATTCTAATCAAAACATTTAGATGTTGCCAGTCAGTGTCTAGTTAAAGAGGTGGTATTTTTTGAGTTAAATACCTTTTTTGTGCATCTAATAGGTTTGCAAAGTGAAAAAGCCCAAAGTCCAGCTCAAAGGTAGTTACCATCTCCCACAGAAAACACTGCTCTGAATTGCTTTAAAACAGCTCGTTTGTAGTTCAGCCGCTTCCCTTTCATCCTTGTGACGACACAAGGAAGAAAGCTAAATGCGCCTCATATATCGCTCATCAAGCGGCTACTCCGACACGCCCTCAAAAACACCGGTGGAAAAACACTGAGCTGCAGCACACACCTCTCCTCTCCCTTCCAAACACTAGCTACCTTCCAGGCAGTCAATGGACATAAAGTTGTTACTGTGATGTAGAGACAGCGCTCAGTTAAAACGTTATCGATGAAAGATACCTTTGTTACAGATTAATAACTCACCACTCTGAAACTCTTGCTCCAGTCTATGTTGCCAAGCTGGTTGGCAACATGTAGCCTACAGCTGAACCGAAGGCGCGTTTGCTTCTCACTGACCCGCCCTTCTCTGCTTCTGATTGTCTAGCAGTCCTTACCTAGGAACTGCACACGAGACACTCCCAACAAAGATCATTTAAGGTCCTGGAAACACCCCTGGTTACTTCCCCAAAGAAAGACACAGAAGAGGAGGGAAGACTAAATCATGATTCAGCAGGGATGATATTACAGGAGAAAAGTTGATCTACAGGGGAAACAGATTTGAAAGCAAAATAGAATGACTGAGAGCTGCACTGCATTATATTTTGTTACAGTTAGGCTATGAATTTTGAACTGTCACCTGCCAACTGAATTATGTTTTCTCTTTACAAAAAAAATCATCATAATGCAGGAAATAAAGTGTTTAATACTTTTCATATAATTTACCATTAAAGGTAGAATAGTGTTAAAATCTTGTCTCGATCTCCTGAACCCAATTTCGAATCTAGTCTTCTCTTGTCACACCCCTACTAATTACTCATCACTCTATCCATAATACACAAGTAAACACTTTGACTATGCTGTTTGGTTGAAACTGTGCTGTACTGTCCAAATGTACTGTAAATTGTCTCATCCTTTTTTGTTTTTCACAGATATTAAAGATCATTTTTGAGCATCTTTCACCTTTAATTGGACAGACTGAGGTACAGGACAGGAAATGGGAGGAGAGATAGAGGCATGACTAATAGGCTACTATTTCCTATATTACTGCTATTTCCTATATTTCAATAATACTAATGCCATTGTAATGAAAGTTAAATGTTACTTGAGAAACACAAGGACACACACGTAAAACATATACCCTTATTTGTAATTTTATTCTAATTATCTGTAATCATAAACACTGATAATATTGGGGTAGTCCTGTCCACCTGCTGCAGTAGTTGCATGTCTGTCTCCTTTTCAAAGATCGCTGACTGTGAGGAGCTTTAGGGATTAATCTGGCAAGCTTAAGGGGTGACTTGAGACTTTGTCACGGCAGGTCTGCCAGCTAAATGAGGCTCTGTCTTTATGCAACTGTTACACAGCTTAATAGCCACAAATTTCAACTACACATGGTAAAATCCAATGTCTCTTCCTTACTGTAAGTAAGTGTAACCACTTGTCATTCCATTCAAAGCTTAAAGTAAACACAACACTAAATCCAGTGCAGCAAACACTGTGTGCTTGTTATGATCTGTTTAAAACCAGCTAATTGTTGCATAAAATCTCCCAACATTAAATGGTAAAAAAAAGTTGAGAAGTTATAATTAATAATGACTTTTCATGTTTTCAAAGAGTTTCACACATGAAATGACCTGTAGCAGGCACTGATTTTGGAGGATATGGCGCCAACACGCCTGGCTAACAAAAGAATGGGCAAACAGATAGACAACGCTTGGGCTGCGGGACAACGGGAAATGGGTGCTGGGAAGGTGGCCAGCATACTGTGAACAGTGAATGGAGGATGTACAGCATGTAAAACCAACAGAGGGAGAACACAGTGCTATTTCCTTTCACTCATTGTTAGATTA